GGATATATTTCGATAAGTGAAATTCCTAATAATTCTATTCTATTCTTCTATTCTTATTTTGGGGCACAACAAGTTATCTTAGGTAACACGACTTTGAAAATGTATAATTTATATAAATATATTATGGCCAATAAGGAATTCCCATATATTGGATAGACGAAAGGAGGGAACTCTTCAGGTACAATGAAGGAAAATATATTAATAAACTTATACACTCTGTATATAAGAAATATTTATAATTAATATATAATATATAGGGTATCTCAGATGTGGGAATTTGATAAATATTATTTCTGATAAATTATGATAGTAAGGTATCTCTGAAAAGAGACCTCTTCAGGTACAACATGTAGCTAATTATTACAAATAAATATTAATTAAAAATTTGTAAAAATATACCGCATATAAGACTGTATAAATTTCGCCGCTCGACTTACGGCATTCGACCCACTGTGCAGCAAGCAAACTATTTACATGATGCTCATATTTATTTCGCGCACTTACGAGTCGTCCTCAACTATCAACAGCATCCATCCTCCCGTCCGCGCGGCCATCAGCGAAGGACAAAAGTAAAATGGATGCAAATAGAAAAGGAGTCGCCGAGCAGCAAGTCGAGTCTTGATGGGGTTGAGGCTGGGCTGGCTGGGCTGGAGTACGTGACGCAACGTGTGCTCCCTTTGCATTGTTGTCCAGCTGTTTGTCTGGCTGTCGGCGTGTTGCTTGTGCGATTTCCGCTCATTATTGTTGCAATCAGCCAGACAAAGGCGAACGCCAGGACACAGGACACAGGACACTCTGGACATGGGCATAGAATTTATGCGTTACCCACACCCCTTTCCCCTTTCCTCTTCTTCTTCTTCTTCGCTTTTTGATTTTTGCGCACAGACACCATGCGAGGCATATCAATAAGGCCTGCGCCGGCTGAAGTCTGATAGCTGGAGTTATGAAAATATCAAATTGTCTGACGTCCATCGTCGATTTGATGATGCTGCCATTTGTCGCAATGCCGGACAGCTGCCGCCCATAATCTGTGCATACGGACTCCACGGCGCGCAGTCTCCATTAAAATTCAATTGGTTTTGGGTCTACGTGAGCTGGCTGCTCGAGACACAGGCAAGGATTTGCTTTTGCTTTATGTCACATGAATTTCGTCTATTTTGTTTTTTGCTTGCTTTTGTTTTTCGCATAATTCGGCCATTAAGACAAAATTTGTTCATTGCCAGTCAGAGTCTGCGGCGGCCGTCCGAGGACGAGTCCTGGTCTTCGTCTCAGCCCCTGAGTGCAGGCGAAGGCGGCGCAAAGTCTCTGCCAGATAAGCTTCGGCTCATTAATGCAACCCGGCAAAGCATTAGCCAAATTCGAGTGTGAAAAATGCATAATAGCTCCCTATCTGGGCTGGGCGCCAACTTTTGCATTATTTCAAATGCATGAGGGCGTCCAGCCAGTCGACCAGCTCCAATTAAAAAAGAAATGAGACACCCAACGCGAATTTCCTGTGCAAGTCCACCAAGTTTAAGGCACACTCAAAGCTGATGCTGAGACTTGAAGATCTCAAGAAGATTTGTATTTAACTTTTTTATCAGATTGAGTTAAAGTGATCCTGGATAGACAGCTAGCGATGCCTAGAGTCGTTTCTAGTTTGAAGCATATAACATACGTATATATAATATATGTTCAATTTGCAATTATTTCATCAGTTTGGACTGATGTTGAAATCATCTAGCTATGCATATGTGGCTCTATATGTAGGTGTATTTATACTTGGTAAGCTGAACTCTCAAACCCTTTTAGCCTTTTGTTTTACTATTGAATGATATCCATGTACATGAAATGTATATTTACATATTTATATCAATACATATATGAATATATATAGTAATACATATATAGTAAAAGCCGGTTATATCTGGAAGATGGTATATATAAGAAAAAGTTTGCTCATATAAGCTTGCCTGGATGCTTTAAGGGGTTCGTTATAAGCGAATTCTACAGTAGACATTCACATTCAATGTTAATGAATTAACATTAGCATCAACATTGAAATTAACATTAACATAAAAGTAGTAAAAACAGTAGTAAAAACATATCAAATGCTGATCATGTAGATTGGCCAATAAACAGAGCCAAGCAGCCTCTGCTGTCAGTTAGGACAAAGAAGTGCATGTTCATGCTCTGCTCTCTGAGGATTCAGGATTCTATATACCTCTATAAGTAACATTAAGTAACATTGCAATCAGCAGAAACTCAGCACAGAACTCTCATTTCTGATCAACTCATGGGAAACACCTCCAAAATCTTTGCCAAGTTTAGTTAATTGAATAATTGAAAATTGTCTCTAGAGAATTTCACCTTGACGGATGACTCAATATATTTCAATTTCAATTTCAATTATGATGTCAACTTGGAGCAAATTCCCAACTAAAGCCAGTTGCAGCTGTTCTCGGCAGCCTCTCTCTCTCTCTCTCTCTCTCTTTAGATGCCAATCAGAGACGAGAAGAAATATGATTTGCTAAATAGGATATTATAATTTAACGACATGCCGCTGGGTATTCCCCAGAGAGCTTTCGGCTCTTCGATAAAACGGCAAGAATGTTTGGCCACACACAAACGGCTCGTAAATTAAATGGCTCGTTTTTATTTAGGTTTTTGTTTTTCTTTTGGCTGCGGCTTTTCCATCTCAGTTTTATTGGTGGTGCCAGCGTGCGCCGCCGCCGTCTCCAAGTGAAGCGTTCAGCCTGCTCGAATAAATTAATACAAATATCGTGCAGATCGTGCATCAAATTTCCATCAAATTAACGCTGCTGCTGGCCAATGCAGCCGGCGTAATTAACTGAGCCGTCGATGTCGGCTGCCCGGGCGGATGTCTTGCCCGTCCGCCGCTCTCGAGCGGAGAGGGGCGTGTGCCTTATTGGTAAAGTTGAAACGGGGTCAAGCGGTTGCATTCCCCATTCGCCTTTCTTTCTTCCGTTTCTTCCCGCTCCCTCTCTCCCCCGCTCTCACTCTCTCTTTCTTTTTGACCAAAAATAGCACAGACACACAATAATATATTAATACACATGAAGCAGGCGACAGGCGTGAGGCGTTGCGCGTGAGGCGTGAGGCGTGAGCAGACGTGGGTGGGAGGCGAGCGCAACGAAAGAGTGCACAGCCCAAACAGTTGGAGAAGAAGAACAACGGAGAAAAACGGAGAGAGAATTGATAAGTCTGTGGCGGCTGCTCCAAAAATAGTTGCGCAGTCATCGCTTCATTTCATCCGGCTGCCGCGTGGCCCTGCTGCGGCTGGAGTTCGTGTTTGTGGCCATGCTAGCCGATAGTCTGTGGTCCACTATAGCCTCTGGGTCTGTGGGGAATGCCTAAATGCAACTGCGACTGCGACTGCAACTGCCACTGCATATAGCTCATGTGAGAGTCTGTGCCGCATCAATTCATTATCGTCATCGATATTCGCTGGGGAATCGTTGCTCGAAACAAAAGGCGGCTCAACGCTTCAATGGCTCTCCAAGCGATATCCATTGACCGGGCCAGACGTGCCCACGCCTGCATAGAGCTATCACACCTCCGCTCCCACAGCTCCAGACAGTTGCATGCAGCCCGAGCAAGCATTGGACAGACGCGCTGCATGCGCTGGGGCAGGTCAGGGCAGATCCTTCTTTAATAGCAAATGCATTTGATAAGACGCAGCTTTCGATCCACTGTGAGGGGACTTGACTTGACCACGACTATAATTCTTCTTAAGAATTGAGTTAGAGAAACAATGACATTGCCTAGATTCTAGATTTTGATTTTTGCAAACAGATTTGAAAGTGAAATGCAAAGACAAGGTGACTTTTCAAAGAAGCCCCAACCCCACTCAGGGTGACCCCAATTCTTATTCTATCAATCACTTTAAAACTGACTAGGTATGCTTTGAGATTAAACGAACCCCAGAAGCTCTTCATTTCTGGCAGATCGAACAATTTCATATTCAAATCCGCACTACTTCTAGTTATAGCTCTACTTCTAGTTCTTATCCAAATATATAAGCCTTACACAAACTGATTTCAGACAAGAAAATTACTGTTGGAGTGCTTTGTTAGTCGTCAATGTATTTTTAGTTTGTTTTGAAAGTTTTGGATTCCAAACTTTAATTGAGTTAAAAATAAATGCTCTAGAAATACTTAGTATTTACTTGTAAGTCCATAACAATTAATATCATAAACAAGTCAGCGTGTTCTATGTGAACTCGCTCGACTCAGGGATACCCTGGGTGTCTTACAGGAATGTAATTTAATTTAGCTTCAGTAACTCCCTCGATATATATTCGAATAACTGAAATATGTGCTGTAAAAGTTATATGTGGAACTAATATAAAAGCAGACGACGAATCTCCATGCCTATAAGGCTGGTTACGCTAGCCGGGCCACCTCAGCCAGGATATATCAAATCAAGTTGTTCTCAGTTAGGCATTCCATAAACTTACTTTAGTGTAATATATAAAGGGATTTGACTTATTTATAATACTTTAAAAATATATTGGCAGATTCATAAATAAGTAAGATTTGGTGCTACGATATTTTATATATTATATTACAAAAAATAAAAAAAAATGTTACAAAATTATTTCTAATATATAAATTTTTTTAAATATTCAAAGACATCAAAATAAATAATACATTTTCAGCTATTTGCATTCACCATTTATTTTGAAATGCACTTGCCAGCAGGCAGACATCTCTGTTGGCTATTAGGCTACAAAAGTTGAAAGCTTTAAGCTCAAAAGCTGTACAAAGTTGCACCAACACTTTTTGTAAGGCTGCTGAGCTTTTAGCGTGTTTATACGCTAAAGCTTTGCAAGCTTTATTCTAGGAAGCTGGTACTTGGAAAAGCTTTTTGCTTTGTGTATATAACCATATAGATTCGAATACTAGCTGAAAAGCTTTATAAAGCTCTCCCATACAGAACTTTTGTTAACAAGAGATTAACGGTTTTGTTTCTTATGTATATTTGAATGTGAAACTTACCTGAAAAAATAGTGTAAACGCTACCCATTGATAATATTTTGTGTGCTTTATTGTTAGAGGGCCACGCCCCTGTGAATTGTGAATTCCAGGAAAAGGCACCTCGGAACCTTGCTTTTTCATGAACGCATCCACAACTGTATACGTTGAGTGTATCCAACAATATGTGTTGAGAACATCTTCCGGAATGTCTCTGCAAATATATATCGACAGGTGTACAGACAAAGGGGAACAGAGAGAGGAGAGAGAGAGAGAGAGAGATGCTCGATATCTTACCTTGTGTGTACACAGTCTATGGGGTTTCCTACGTACTGCCGCGTTGTCACAGCAATCGAGAATGTGATCAGTAAAATAACCGTTGCGTTTGTGTGCAGGCGAAAAACAGGTGAATCGATTTTGACATGAGACACCTATATATGTGTATATATATATGTGTGTGGGTGTGTGTATTGATCGACAGGTTATCGACAATCGATCGATTTCGCGTTGCGTGTTGAAGTATGCGTAGTAAGAGAAAGAACATTATTATTAAGCGAATTGGCAGCGGGGGGCGTTTGGGGCGGGAATATAAATTGATATGTTTTTGGTTGTTTAATGCAGAACGGTTATACAAATTTGCTAAGTATATCTGTATCATAGTTAGTACGTTTTTCGTTTCTCTTCTTCTTTTGCATTTTCTTTAGAAGTGTGCTTTATAAGTATTGTATAAGTAGTTTATGTACATTAACTTATATGGCAGGGTTAAAGCATTTCTTTCTTCATCTTCATCTTTTCTTCTTATAATTCTTCTCTCATGCTTTTCTCTTACGTTATTTTATTTTTCAACAAAAACTTAATTTTCTTTGACTTTTTGCCTTACAATTAGTGTAACTGTCTTACAAATTAATAAAGCGAGAAAGAGTTAGACAAAGAGATAGATAGAGATAGAGAGAGAGAGAGGAAATTATCTGCCATATGTACAGGATTTCATATATTTTGCTTTGCTGATTTCAGCTGCCGCACATCGGGCCCGATTCAGGGGCGAATACCGTTATCACGACCACCCTGAACAGCTCTGCAGTCCAATATCCGATCGAATCTTGCATATTAAGATTGTTTCCTGGGCTGCTGTTCAGCTTGCTCGCAATTGGCTGATTAATCTATATGAAATAAATACAATTTGTAATTTCGACTTATCGAATTGGATTCGGATTGGAAATTTGTAATATCATATAAGTATAGTAAGGTGTCACAGCAATATGGTAATTTGAATAGACCTGACTTTTCGTTAGTTATATATATTATAGGAGGAAAATAAAAAACGAAATACGTTGATATACAAATCAAAAGGAACGATTAATCAATTTTGGTGTGGAGTGTAAAACGAATTGCGAAGTATGCTTGACTAGCAATTGAATATAGAAAATTGCTGGGAATGCAAATTTATGTTGAGGTTTTCACGTTCATGATTAGGCGCCCAGTCGACTGAAGTGTGAATGAAAACGATAGATAGATAGTTGGATGAATGAAGAGATAAAGAGAGAGAATGAGATAGAGAGAGAGAGGTGATTCGAGCCGATAAACGAGTGTCGCACTTCAGTTCTGGGCCGCCTCTTGATGTGTTGAAGGCCAATCGGGATTTTCGGGTGCTTCGTTTGAGTTTCTCCAATTTTTAATTGGACTTTTGGAATTTTGTTTTGTATCTGAATTTAGCTGTTCGTAACGATGACCACTCAATCGATATTTTATTTTCATATATGACATTTGACTTTTGGCTCTCGGCTGACTATGAGAAGTTTATAAAAATCAACAAATTATACGCAAACATCTGAATGGAGGAAATAACATAAAAGAAGTCTCGTGAAACGGTCTCCTAATACCCATGAAATTTCGATAATGGCTTCTCAATTTCTGCAAATTGAATGCACAGATTTGTAGTTGGTGGATTTTTTTTTAATGTATTTTTTTTTTTAATATATATATTTATTTTTTTGGTGGTTGGGTGGTTTGGTGGTTTTGTTAGTTGCTTTTGTTAGTGAAAAAGTTGAAATGTGATCGTCTGAGTATTTAGAACAGAACAAATCTGGCGTTTGGCTATCTCATAGCTGTGGTGAGTTGTGAGCTGAGCTGTGGTGAATTTATGGTATTCAACTTGCTTGAAAACGTGATCAAAATTCTATAACCCGGTGAGTTGGTGAACGGTGAGCGAATACTTGCGATTATGAGTGTAATCGTTATTGTGGTAAGTTTGTCTTGTGATCGTGGTGAGTTTGTGGTAGTGGTGACAGTGGTAGTGGTGGTGGTGGTAGTTTGTGAAACAGTGAGCAATAAAAATTGTGTGCTACAGCTGAAAGCTGTGCATGTAATTGTAAGAAAATTGCGAGACGAAGAGTGTACAGAGAGAGAGAGAGAGTATGTGTGAGAAAGTGAGATAGAGAGAGAGAGTGAACGTGATAGTGTGTGGTTGTACACGAAAAATGAACATTTCGAAAAGAAAGTTAAAGAAAAGATATACATATTATAGTTATTATAAAATTGTAGAAGATGGTGTGAACAACTAGATGTATTTGAATTGAATTGAATTGAATGGAGAAAAATGTACGAACAAATTTGAATTAAGGTGTAAATTGGGTACGTTAATTCTAGATATATTCAACACAGTACAAGTAAGAGTAAGACAAACAGACATATACGTATATTTGTAAATATATATAGAGGTATATACGGTTATATGTTATCGAACGAGGCGCACGCGCTGCGCATTCGTTCTCAAGGACTTAGCATTAATAATAGTCGTCAGTCGGCCAATAGATATATGTAGATATATAGCTATGATAGCTCTCGCACATCCTGCTATTGGCCAACTGGCAGCTTCAACAGAGGTATACGTCAAATGATTCAAAATAATACTAGGCATTTTCAGTGTAAACCGTTAACAACTGGGATGGCTTTAATAGAGCTGCTTTGTTTGTTAGTTCGATTGACTGTGAACCTATAACCAGTATAAATATTTACAAATTTCAGATTCTCTTTCAGTTCTGCTTCTTATTTTCTTCAGCTTTTTCTTGTTTTTATTTTGTTTGTAAATATCGTGGTTATATCGATTTGTATTTTATGTGTGTCATAATCGGAATTGTTAAGAGCTTAATTTGGTTTTGGATAGCTTAAGTGTTACTAAATGTTCTTCGGGCTTTCAACATTTTATATGGGATTCATAATTTTAGTTTAGTTTTCGATTTTTAAATATATATATATATAGGTAATACACATACACAATTTAAATACAGAGCGATAGAGAGAGAGAGAGATATATATATATATGTATATATAGAGAGAGTGTGGCATAAGATTATCGTTTATAATTGCTTTATATTAGCTTGGTCAGTTAGCGGCATTTTTGTTGTTGTTGTTTTGTTTTGGTTGTTGGTAATTGGATTAATTTTGGCTTTGACTTGGCTTTGAGTTGGCGTGGGTGAGAGAGTCTGTGGTTGCGTGATTGATAGATAAATTTACTGTGACAGTTGGTGATTGAGTGTGTGAATGAAGGTTGCTCTTGCTTAATAGTTGAGTTGAGTTAAGTTGAGTTGAGTTAGTTAATCAATATCTCATTTTGTTTGTTTGGGATATATGTAAATATATATATAGATTTCATTGTGATTTTGTTTAATTGAATTTTACTTGCAGTAATTTTCAGAGTTTTTCTTTTCTTTTGGTTTTAGTCTGATGAGCATATATATATATTGACTAAGTAGTGTTGGAGAGTTGGTGAGTTACAAAGGAGAAGGAAAATAATGAACATAATTGAGTTGCTGCTGTTGTTGCTTGTTGTAGTTGTAGTAGTAGTTGTTGTTGTTGTAGTTGTAGTTGTAGTTGTGATCTAAACGAGTACGTGGTGAGCGTCGCATCCGCTTGCTGAATACGCGCCAGTGTTGGACAATACTGAATGCCTGGCCATTCCGCAGTGAGAAGTGAGAAAGTGGCGAGTGAGAGTGGTGAGTGAGTCGTGGTGACGTGGTGAGCGTAGTGAGCGTGGTGAACTTGGTGAACGTGGTGAGCTTGGTGAGTGGGCAAGTGGGCGGGTGGGCAAGTGGGCGAGTGGGCGAGTATTTAGTATATAGTTGGTGATCAAGATCAGCTAACGAGTGAGCGCACGCAGCGATTTGTGGTGTGTGAGCGAGTGGTGGAAACTGAGTGAGATTGAAAGCACTTAATAAGTAGCGTGTATCAGTGTGTGTGTGTGTGTGTGAGAGAGAAAAAGAGTGTGTGTGTGTGGAATACTTGTAATACTTGATTTGCTGTTGTTTTTGTTTGACTACAGAGAGAGTGTGTGAGAGAGAGAGAGAGAGAGAGAGTAACTCGCTAGCTGGCCACTGTTGGTGTTGGTTGGTGTCCAGAGGTGAGATTGCAGAGTTAACATTTTGTTTTGGTTTTGTTTATTTGTGTTTTGCTTTGCTTGTTTGTTGCTGGTTTTCTTTTACTTTTGTTTGGTTTTGCAGTTAATTAGGTGATTTGGTTTTCATTGTTTTTGTTGCTTTGTTTGTGTAAAGTGATTTTGGTTTTTGGTGAGAGCCAGTTTATATTTTCATCACAAATTGTTCAACAATTTCTGTTTTTTTTTTTTTTGTTTTTTTTTTTTATTATTTTTGCGGGTGAGGTTTATGTTCAAATTTGATTTTATTTTTTAAAATGTTTTCAGTTGTCTTTTTAAAAAATTAATTTCTTTGTTTAAGTTTGAAATTTATGTGAAACGTTTTTATTGTTCTGGTTGCAGTTTTTCTATGTCATTGTAAGCACATTCGAGGGCGAGGGCGAACAAGAGCGATGAGTTTGAAAGTGTTTCATTTTCTTTCTATGTTGCTGTTTCTTTTTTACCAACGAAAAATAGGCGTTAATCACATATGTAACACAAATAATAATAAATAGTCGAAAGCAATAAAAGTAAACTCAGAGTAAAACCAAAAATTCGCTACTTAACACAACGAAATAAAGCGGGCAAAGCAACGCAAGGCCAACCCGCACATACATATAAATATATAGCGAAGTGGATTCTGTGTATTCACAGTCCCCAGGTCCGAATTGCCCTATCCTAATACCCATTGTGTGCGTGTGCGTGTGCGTGTGCGTGTGTGTAATAAGCATCATGTGAGCATGAACTGAAGTGAAGTGACTTACGCTTACGGGCTGATTAACAAAATGGCATTTCCCCAACTGACTGCAATGACTATGCGACTGACTGACTTCTGCCCAGTAACCATAACAATGTATTTGATGGCGAGTCGGAATTTGCTGCTGCCGCTGCTGCTGCTGCTGGGACTACAAGGCAATAACAGCGACAGACAGAGGGAGGGGGCGCTGGCCTGAAGCTCGTTTTTGCTATTAGAACAACATTGGCAATACATTTTGGCAATAAAAATAAGTTTCGCTACAAAAT